TGAGAGAGTGGAAGGAGGGGGGGAGAGGCTGTAAGTAAGAGAGACCAAAGGGGTAGAGGGTAAGAGAAAGAGAGAGGGGCGTAGAGAGGGGAGGGGGGTTGCTAGTCGGTTTTCGGGGTGGAGGGTGAGGGAGTGTTTGGAGAGAGAGAGAGGGGTGAGAGAGGGAGAGGAGAGAGAGGGGGGAGGGGAGAGAGAGAGAGAGAGAGAGAGAGAGAGAGATAGAGAGAGAGAGAGAGAGAGAGAGAGAAAGAGAGGGGAGGGGGGTTGCTAGTTGAAATGAATAAGCAGCCTAATGTCCAAGTAGGGGCATACGATAGTGACAATTGTAGAGTTGTCTGAACGGGGGAGGAACGAAGGCAAAGACAATATATGAAAGTAAATGTCAGAAGTGTATTTCAGAGCTAAAGTATTCAAATGTGCTGTTCCAACGATGGAGGACTGCATCGCCTGATGAGGTGATGCGGTTATGTTTGTTACCCCCCCCCCCCCCCCCCCAATAAACCTAAGTCTCGTTTAAAAAGAGAGTTATGAAGTTGAACTTAAAATCTAACCAATAACACACGAGAAGTCAAATAGGGAATTACTTTTAGGATAGTGGAGAGATAAAGGCGAACGATTATTTGAAGTTTTTTTGGAACTGAAAAAGGTTTTTAAGTATTATTTTCTACATGTACTAGTGGATGAACCCAACTCACAAGAACTAATTACCATTTAAATTTTTGGGAAAGGAATTTCGCGTACAATATACACTCATGATCAGAACGCTTGCTTCATTCCTTAATTGAGAAACATTCTTCTCTTCTAGGAATCAAGCTATTGGTGCTTCGTCTTTCTTTGAGAATATTGGTAGCGTTGCAGCCCCTAGCATGGTGCTTGTGGTAAGTACTATATCTGTTCAAGCTCAGTTGGGCAAAAAGGAATTACTAACTAAGCATGATCTATTGGACATTAAAAACGACAATGTAATGGACAGACAGGGTTAATGCATTACTGCCGAAAATAAAGACAATGGTAAAGAATATTTATCGGACGAAGGAAAAATGATGGATTTGGTAGGCCAAGCTACTGGAATGGTCGACCATACTGTCGGATAATGACAAACTTGACGTATGAGGCCAGAGTAGAGATAACTTTGGATATACCAAGATGAATTTGACAAGTTCCCCCCCCCCCCCCCCCACACCCACACCACACACACCTTGAGTGACAAAAATAATAGCAAATATAATTGCAGTGTATGATGATGTATTGGTAGGTCGAATGAAGAAGAAGAAGAAGAAGAAGAAGAAGAAGAAGAAGAAGAAGAAGAAGAAGAAGAAGAAGAAGAAGAAGAAGAAGAAGAAGAAGAAGAAGAAGAAGAAGAAGAAGAAGAAGAAGCAGAAGAAGAAGAAGAAGAAGAAGAAGAAGAAGAAGAAGAAGAAGAAGAAGAAGAAGAAGAAGAAGAAGAAGAAGAAGAAGAAGAAGAAGAAGAAGAAGAAGAAGAAGAAGAAGAAGAATTGTTCTTTACTTTAAGAAGGCTCTTTTTACAAACAGTTTACTTTGTGTCCCACAGAATGACCAAGTGAATCATCTGCCTTTGGGAATTTTCGGCGGGATGACCGTAGTCGGTGCCGCTCTCGTGCTACTGCTCCCTGAGACCCACAACCGTCCTTTGCCGCACACCATTGAGGAGGTGGAACAAAACGGAGCCAACAAAGCAGAAAGATGAAACTTTCAACTCTGAGAACAGAAGTGTTAGAGCTGACAGGTCAATAGTCGAAGAAATGTTTTTCAATTACCAATCTTATTTGACCTCATAACATCATTTTTTCAATCATCTGTAGATCTGGTTGTCGAGCTCCTGTAGGTTTTCATTGTCATGGGAACTGCTCAGCACATCATGCGTAATCAACATTTGCACTCGACAAGGCTCGTGAAGAGAAAACATAACGCACTGTTGGAGACAGTTGTACATAAATGGATTGAATTCTCTCTCCCCCCTCCCTTTCCTTTTACTGACCTAAGGAGTGCTTTTAGTCCCATGCTAGATCTACCAGTTACAGAACATGAAATTGAACGAAAAGATTCAACATTAAAGACATACTTCAACACATCACTTTATTACTAGTGGCAGGTTGTCGACGGGCGGGAGTTTGAAGATCTGTATAGCAGTCACCACAATATCGTTTGGATAGACCACTGGAATATCAAAGTGGTTGAGTTTGTCTTGCTCATATCGCTTGAATCTGAATTTTAACATTTTTTGCCTTTGTCTTGCCAGTGAATATACCTTCATCCTTATTTTACCGAATGTCTAATGCTTTGAACCTTCTTATAAACAAGGTTCACTTGAAGCAAATTTAAATTGCATGTCTATGCCTATAAGCAGAAAAGTTAAAATTTCATTTATGCTGAAGTTGTTATGCTGTACTGTATCTATCATGTGCAAGCTTGGGATTTTCACTTACGTTTCACCGATTGGATAGTATCGAAATAGCAGAATTTCTTACTTCTTGAATTCAAAAGATTGTTTTTTCTTCGTCAGTGTTCTCTGTGCTATTCCAATACATTCCTCTAGTTCCTTTATTGTTCTCACCAGTCTTATTTCCGTCTTTTCTTCATGTCCCCCTCCCCCTCTTCTGTCTATTTCTAATTTCCCGATTCTTCTAGTCTTCCTTCCCTTTATATGTATTATTATTGGCCCTTCTTTTTCCAATTTGAAATATTTTTCTCCTTTCCTTCCTTTCATAGCTTTATTTACTTTCCTTGCTCCAGCCACATCTTATTCTCTTCTTCCCCGGTTTAACTTCCTTCTTTCATTCATTGCTCCTTTCTCTTTTTTTACTTTGTTTATCAACGCAACAGCATTGGTTTCGAACCTGACCGATACGCTGTTCTCCATTAGGCCCTGTGCTTCATAAAAAATGTTTCACTTGCCACACAGCAGTGAAGTATGACGTCACTTGGCGGTGAAGAGAGACGCACGGGTAAACAATGCCTCATTTGCTTACTGGCGACGAGTGTAAATTTTTCAAGTGAAGTGTGGACGACGCTTTAGGGGACCATAAATCAGTCTTCGAGTCGAAGAGATGAAGTTCAACAAGAAGCCAAAGCTGGGGTATTTCTGACACATTTGGATGAATTTCACTCGCTATAAAAACACGAGTATCAAATGAGAATGCGCATATCGCAAGAGAAAGAATACATAATTACGTTAATACAGTTCAAATGTGTTTTTTTATAACTGATTATGCGTGATTTTAAACCGCTTTTTACTTGAATGAAAGAGCTAACGAATATCATATTGACCTAAGATGTGCAAAATATTTAGAATTTTGAGTGTTCAGATTCAAGTATAGACTGTTTGTAGAATGTTTCACCTTCAGGATGATGTAGTAATCCATGACATAGGAGCTGCTTCAGGACATTTCTTTTCTGTGTATTGTAGCAGTGTATGGCATGCTTGTCAGATGACAGTGACAGTGTTATAATGATGTTATAATTTCTAAATTTGGCAGACAACGAGATGCAGAAGATTTTTTTTTCATGTGATGTATATTATAGCATATTATATACAAATGCATATGATCTCACTACCCAGACCGTTGTACTATTTCAAGAGTGACTTTATCCATTTTGCATTGTGTGGTGTGTGTCTTTGTGTGTCCATTGTTTCTTGCCCAGGATGAAAGGTATACTATGTACTCTTAGAGAGATCCTGAAAAAGTGAGAGACTGTGTGTGTGTGTGTGTGTGTGTGTGTGTGTGTGTGA